TACTTTTGTGGAAAACCATTTGTTTAAAAAATCTCAATAAAGGAGGCTAGAAATTGAAAAAGCAAAGCCTTTAAACATTATCTAGTCTTTAACCTATATTCTAATAAGTAACATTCCTCAGAACATTTTATTTGCTGCTGTGAAAAAAACTGGGCTTATAAACACTGCTATAGCATAGGGTGAGCAGTTCCCCTCTTAGAGATGGATAGACTGAGACCCACGGATACATTCACTGCTCTGGGCTTATGCACAGAACCAAGGGTCCTAGAAGCCATCTCCTGTGACCTCTCACAGGTCAACAACCTTCTCAGGGATTGCTGTGAAGCGCTAGAACCGGGCATCAGGCTTTTCAAACTGGACAGGCTCTGCGGGTGCCCATGTTCCAAGCAACTATGGTCAGAGAAGTGAGCCAACTCCCCAAGGTCACACAGCACTTTCGGGGCAGTGCCAGGCTAAACCCCAAGCTCCAGGTCACATCACTCCATAGTTGCCTTCAGAGGGCCTCCCTAGCTGAGGAAGAGGGCAGGGATGCAGGGGGCTGGGAGAGGCACACAGAAGGGAGGGAACATAAAAAAAAGGCTGGGTGGGAGAATGGGCAAGACGTGGCTGTGGGCCCAGGTGTCCCACCCTTTCCTCTTGCTCTGCGTTTTGGAAAAGCCGCTGACCCTGCTTTAGCTGTCTGCTGGGAGCCAAAGAGTCCCTTTAGTCCCAGGTTCCCTGGACCAAGGCTGCCCAGTGGCTGGTTTTCCACGTGCTTCCTGGAGCCTGGGTCCTCCCACTCCTCTCCACTAAGGGGCAGCATCACCCAAGCGTTCCACCGTCCTCGCTGCAGCCCGCAGCCTGGCTAGGAAAGTTGGCCAAGGGTGAGGGGCTGCACTGGGCCCCGCCTTCCCTCAGCAACTGTATGGGTTTGCTCCTTTGGAAATGCACGAATGTCCTTCTCCATCTCTGCGATGGCTGGAGGGTAGAGGTGGACTAGGATGGGGCTGGGGAGTGGAGTTGGGGGATGCAGAAGGCCCGGGGTGCCCTCGGCTATGGCCAGGCCCTTGGAGGACCAGCTCAGGCACAGCTTCCAGCTCAGCCCACCAGCAAGAGTCCAGGGGCCACTCTTGGCTGCAAATGCAAAGTTAATTTTGGTGACACAGTTGTTATTTCTCAGCTGATTTGATGCTCTGCGGAGCAGGCAGGCTCCTTGATGAGTTATCTCCCTTCCAAATTCCCTGTCTGATTGCCTTCCTCTGGAGGTCAGGAACAAGGGCAAACCCCAGTGCCTCTGACTGGAGCAGCGGATGGGAGAGCAACAGCAGGGATGCAGCTGGTCCCAGTCAGGTGTCAGGGCCGAGGGATGGGGCTTTCCTGTCCTGCTCACGGAGCGCTTCATCCCCAGTCCAGGGCTGCCTGGAAGTCTGGGGGCACGTTTCCTTTAGGCCTGCTGGGTCTGAAGGGAGAGGCCTGGCTGAAGGGTGGCAGCTGCAGGAGGGAAAGGCATGTGCTAGAGCGGAGGGCTGCGGCTGACCTGGGCCAATAGATGCCCCTTGGCTCCCCTGAGACCTGGCACCCTAGGTCAGAGGAGAGCAGTGTAGGACCTGGGGGAGGGCTGCACAGTCACCTGGGAGAGGAGGGCCAGGTCCCTACCATGAGAGCAGACCTGCTGAGCTACCCAGGGCTTGCCTGCTCCCCTGCCAATGGGCAGAGAAATATTTTTTTAAAGGGCTCAGGGGGTCCTCCTGGCCTGGCTGCTCTGCTGAGGGCTGCACACATGAGGGGCAGGGCCCTTCTTGCTGCCTGGCCTGCTGAGGGCACAAGAATGGCTCGCTCTCCAGGGGTAGAGTGGTAGCCACATTTCTGCTGGCCTTGGCAGGGACCCCGGCAGTGTGTGAAGGCTGGCTGGCATGCCACGGGGAGGGGGGGTGCTGAGCACACACCTTCTGGCCCTGGGTCCCACAGACGGGTGGAAGGGGAGGATACAAAGTCGACAGGTGAGAAGTCCTTGGAGCTGCCTGAGACCGGGGAGGGAAGCCCTGCCCTGCAAGGCTGGACTGTCTGCAAGCCTGGCTCGGAGCTCCCTGGGGAGTCAGTAAAGTGCAGAGTCCAACCCAGCTCTGCACTGCTGGAGGGACCCGTACAGAGGATGACACACCCTCCCCCCCCGCAGCCTTCAGCAGGCGTCTTCTGATTCATCTTACTGGCTTGCCTGGGACCAGAAATGGGACCTCCATTTCTGATTGAGTGCACGGATGCCCAAGGCCACAGGACCACAGGATGAGTCGAAACCAGGAGGACAGTCCTCGCAGATGCTCTAGTTAATAGGATGGTGGTTTTCAGATGGTTTTAGAGCTGCAGACCCTGTTCTAGAAATAGACGCATACACTGAAGCCCAAAACATGAAACAGATAAAGACAGAGCTGCTGTGTCTAAGGAGGGGAAGTTCCAAGACCCTTGTCCCTGCCCAGCGGCTCTCCACCACCCTGCGCTGCCTGCTGCCTTGCTCTTGGGGCCTCCTACCTGGACATTGAGTTCAGTGCGTGAATTTGCCTTTAACATTTTTCCTGGTGGTAAAAACCAGAGACTTCACTGGCAGAGAGAGCAGGAGCTATTTGCAGAGTCGCTGACTTGCAAGGCCCCATTTCACTCCCCAACTCGGAGGCCGACAAAGACAGATGAGGCCAATTGGGGGGATTTGCACCACTTTACAAGATCCTCCTTCTGCCTTGCGGGTGGATTAGCACGTGGTGGGCCCAGAGCAGCTGCTGACCACATCTGGCCCCAACTCCAAAGTGGCCTGGGCAGCTAGATCTGGACTCTGGAACCCGGCCTGACCTACCAGCACCCTGGGAGGGAGAAGGAAGCAAAGAGGCCTGCTCCAACCCAGATGGGTGCAGAAATCAGAAAAGCAGGAAGGCCCCTTGGAAAAAGGACTGGCCCTCTGCGTAAGTCCAGGAAACTCTGTAGAACCAGCTGGAAACTTCCCCAAACCATGGTGCTGGTGAGCCCTCTGAGATCCTCTGGCCCTCAGGTCACCCTGAGAAGCTGAGACAGGGACTTCCTGCTTCAAATGGGAATCCCTGCATTATCCATCTAACTCCAGCTCAAATACCTCCAGTTTCAAAAGCTCATTGCCTGCCCTATCTGAGCCACGGCTGGACAGCAGTAGATGCCAGAAAGCTCTTTTCCCCACCAAATAACGTGCCTCCTTTAGTGCACTGAACAAGTCTGCCACCTCCCTGCCAGTCCTCTGACTTCTACGGCACACCAGGACTGGAAAAATCCAGAGGGGCCCTGCGCCCTAGAGACTGTCAGGCAGTCCTAGGATTCAGCTTTGGTAAAACACAGAGATAGATCCAAAGAGTCCTCAGCCAGGGGCTTGATACACAGCCTGGGATACCAGGCTGTGATCCTCTGCAGCCATCAGTGGGGCCTTCCTTCGGGACTGTTTCCACAGGCATGGGTGGGTGGTAGCCTTGTGTCTACAGAGTGGGGCTGAAGAGCGAGGCTTGGGTCAAGTAAAATAGGAGCAGATGAAGAGGGGGCACAAAGGCATCCAGGACTACCCCTTGACCCCAAAAAAGGAAAAGGGTGGGATGAGAAGGGTGACAGATGGGGAAAAGGAGAGGAGGCACGTGAGGGAGGAGGGAGATGCGCCAGCCCCCTCGACCTCACACCCACTGCAGGAGAGCCTTGGCCTGCTCAGCTCAGCCTTGGCCCTGCTGCTGAAATTCCAGCTCTGTGCACAGCCCAGCTGGCTCAGTGCCAGTCATGTGCCAGCTCCAGGCTGGGCAGCGGGAAGTGGGGCACGCGGCAGGCATATGGACAAGAAGCCAGGAAGTGCAGAGCAAAGGGCTGGATGTCCGCTTGGCCCAGGGATGCAAGTGCTGGCAGGACCAGCCCGACCCTGCCCTCCCCACAGCATGAAGGCCGCAGACCCCTGCCTTCCTCAATGCCCAAAGAGTGCCCATGGGCAAGCCTTGATGCTGGGCACCGAAGGGGCCAGGGCAATCACATGATCCAGCTGGCTTCAGCCCATCCGCCTGAACAACAGCAAGCCGTAGGGCTTTCTAGCTGACCACAGGAGGGCTGCAGAGAGGCAGGATGCGTGGTGGTCAGAGCACAGGCTCTGGGGTGGGTGGCCTGGCGGTGGATGTCAGCTGATCAACCTCAGGCAGGTTACGTGTCTCTGTGAGACTCAGTTTTCTCATCTTTAAATGGTGGTAGCAACAGCACCTGCTTCATGCATACAACCTTCATACATGTATAGCCACAGAGGGCTGGAAGTGCTGGTGTAGCACATTGCTGACTACTCAGCACAACGGTGAATTTTTTTTTTTGAGACAGGGTCTTGTTGTCACTCAGGGTGGAGTGCAGTGGTACGATTACAGCTCACTGCAGCCTCAAATTTTTGGACTCAAGCAATCCTCCTGCTTCAGCCTCCCAAGTAGCTAGGACTACAGGCACACACTACTGGGCCTGGATTTTTTAATTTACTTTTTTATTTTTATTTTTGGAGACAACAGTTGTTACCCTGGCTGGAGTGCAGTGGTGTGATCTCAGCTCACTGCAACCTCTACCTCCCGGACTCAAGTGATTCTCGTGCCTCAGCCTCCTGAATAGTTGGGACTAAAGGTGTGCACCATCACGCCCGGCTAATTTTTGTATTTTTAGTAGAGGTGGGGTTTTGCCAAGTTGGCCAAGCTGGTCTCACACTCCTGGCTTCAAGCGATCTGCCTACCTTGGCCTCTCAAAATGTTGGGATTCACAGGTGTGAGCCACTGAGCCCAGGGCCATTTTTTTTTTTTTTTAAGAGAAGGGGTCTTGCTATGTTGCCCAGGTTGGTCTTGAACTTCTTGAGGCTGCTCAAGCAATCCTCCCACCTCAACCTCCCAAAGTGCTGGGATTACAGGTGTGAACCACCGTGCCCCACCCACAATGGTAAATTAGTTTAATGCTGAGAAAATGTGGTGGGTCTTGTCAGTGCCAAGGGGCCCACGTCGGCCCCAGCCTGCGTGCCTCTTCCTTCTTCTATGACCCTCTGGTGGAAATCCCCTCAGAACTCCCTTCCCACAAGTCACTTCCCAAAGCACACAGACCGAGAAGCAGGGGCGGGGAGATGGCATCATCATCTCCTCCTTCCCTGGGCAGACACCTCGCCTCTCCAAGGCCCTTGGCACATTTTAAGGGTCCCTCCTTAAAATCCATTTAGGGCAAAACCCATTTTCTGACGACAAGGACAAACCAGATGGTTGCATTAAAAAAAAAAAAGGCCATAAGGGGAAAGTATAGACTTATACAGCCACCTCCAGGGTAGTCCAAAGCTATGTATACAAAGAACTTGGGGTAGGGAGTTTCACATCTGCCTTGGGTGGGGAAGCCCAGTCACAGAGGGCACATCTCTAGAAGCTCCAGAGAGTCAGCATGGAGGGGGCACAAGGACACCAGCCCACTGCAACTCAGCTGCCATCTGACCTTGGACAGGTGACCTTGTACAGGGTCTCAGTTTCCTTAATTGTGAAATGGGACCTCAGTGCCTGGGTCACAGGACTGCTGCAAGGCTTGACTGAGCATGAAGTGCGTGGCTTTACTGGCCTCCTGGGCACTGGAAAAATGGTTCCAAGAAATGCATGAGCTGTGGACTCACATGTGGGACAGCAGGGGACGGATCAGGACACGGACAGGCCCCTCTGCAGGGTTTGGAGGGGCCTTGGGTTTGGCCAGTCCCATCTATTTCCACCTCCCCTGCATTTGTGACACTCCCTGTCCCTACGTTGCCCTCTCTGCCCTTATGCCTCCCCAAAGCTTAGAATGCCAGCACAGGTGTCACCTTCTCTACGCAGCCCCCCAGGCTCATCTGTGTTGGGCGGTGCCTTTGCTAAATGCCCCTGTGCCTGGGTTCTTGCTCTCTCAAAGAGAGCCTTGGAGATATTTCTGCCTCTCCTGTATCTTGTTTTTGCTCTCAGCATCCCTACCCCAAATCCAGTTGTGACCTCCTGGAGGGTGGGGAGCAGGTCCTTCGACTTCCCCTGGGGAACTCCCAGTCCTGACTTCACAGGATGAGCTCACACATAGGAAGAGCTCAGGACAGGCTTGGCACCGGTAAATGCAAACCATGGAGGGATTTGCTCCTCTGATCATTATCTGCCCCCACCACCCCAGCCCCAGCACAGGCTGCACGGGCCTGGGGTTGGGGGTGGTGTCGGGTGGGAGTGAGTAAAGCAGAAGTGGGGAAGAGGAGGGCGCCTCCTGCCCTCATCCCTCTCCTTCCCTCCCTCTCACCCCCTTCAACCTGCTTTTCCTTTGTGCTCAGACCACAGATCCCCTCCCCTCATCCTGTGAGCCATCTCTGGCTGCTGTGCCCTTGCCCTGTGCCCCCCTAGATCCCCAAAGGCCGTTTCATTACGCCTCAGCTCCCTGCCCCGCCCCCCAGCCCAACATGTGCGAAGCCCGTGGCCTCCTGCCAAGGCCTGGGGCTGCCAGTGGAGGCAAAGAGACAGAAATCTCACCGCTCGGTAGGTTTTCTTCTGCCCAGCGTGCTTGGGGGCTTTGCCTGGCTCCGCTGAGCTCTCCACATGCATCGAGTAGATGATGTCAAAGAAATCTTCCACCACAGCGACCCGCTTCAGAGAGATGCCCTCCGGCTCCGACAGGCCATCTGCCCCCTGCGACAGGGTGGACAAGCTGTGTTAGTGTCAGGGATGATGGCGGGGTGAGAACTGGGCCCTGAGGCCGGGGCAACGGGTCAGGACGGGCAATGGCTCTGACAGTGGGTCTTGGGGTTGGGGGAGGGAAGGAGCCTGCTGAGGGGGCTCCCTGGAGGGGGATGCCAGAGTCAGGGTGGCTGCAGCTATGAAATCTACCAGCAACAATGGGCAGAGAATGGCGACAACGAAAATACAAATTAAAAAACCAAGAGGCTCCATGTTCACAATTTCAGACAGATTGTGCCAGACTCGGGCGGGGAGCTCTTGAATCACACGCTGTGCCAAGACCATCCTGGAAGTCTCTGGGGAGGGGGAGTGCTAAGTAGATGCGGCCCCATCAGGAGCTCGCCAATTAGCAATAACCTTTCACTGTGGGCCTGGGCTGGGGTCCCGGGGGAGCAGCTCCGATCACCTGGGTGACTCCTGCCTCCGCCCTGGCCTTTCTGAAAAGCTTTTCTCGGCTGCTTGCCCTCCCCACTCCAGCAGCTGAGCGCCAGCAATGGCACCCGGGCTCTTTGTGTGTGGAGATGAACAGAATAACAGGCACGAGGCCACGTGGAAGTGGCAGGGCCGCGTGAACGGGTCGGCCATGGGCCCGAGCCTCTTATCAGGCTGGTATGAGTGCTGTCAGCTGGCCCGACAAGGTGTACCAGGAGCAAGGCGGGTCCTTCAACAGCACACAGCTGCGGGGCTGACGCCTGCCTTCCCCTCTAGCAGGGCAGGAGGCTGGGGGAGAGGCCAGGGGCAAGGCCAGGGCCTGGAAGGGAACAGACTTCGGGGGAACTGCTCTGAGCCCGAAGTGGGAAGCAGACCCACCAGGCTCTCAACTGCCAGCTCCTTAAGGGGAGTCTGTGGGGACGTTATGGAGCTTTGAAGATCGAGAGCAAACTGTACAGAGATTTCTGGGGAAAGGAGGCAGGGTTTTCTCTAAAAGTGCCCAAAAAACACATCTCCAAGAGAATTCTTCACAAAGGACCCCAACTCAAGGATGTCAGCAACAGGAGGATGTGGCTTTGCTCCCTGGCTGTCTCTCCAGCACTGACAACAGTGCCTGACACACAGTAGGTAGTCAGCAAATAAGGACTGGTTGGATGACTGAGTGGTCGTTAAGTGGCAGCTGGGCTGAGTCACTTGTACACACTCTGCCCTGGTTTGAATACGGCCCCATCATGGAAATGGCCGTGTAACCCTGAGCACTTACTGTGCTTCGAGCCTCAGGCCCTTTATCTGTAAAATGGGGATAACAGAAGCTCCGTTGCCACAAGCTACCGAGGGAAGAACTGAGATGTGCATGCAGCACTTAGCACTGAGCCTGGCGCACAGGGACTGCTCCATAAACATTGTTATCAAGAAGCGCTTTGCAGTTCACCACGTTTCCCCCAGGTATGAGAGAGCCGAAAACCGTGACAACCCTGGGAGGTTGTTAGGGTCAGGACCTGCCAGAGGTACGGAGGCTGGTGGGTGGCAGAGATGGCTTAGGACCTCAGACTGTAGTCCGAGTAGAATACAGGCCACACTGGCAGGGGATGCTCGCTCACAACATGTTCTGGCACAGACAGGTTTTGGTTTCACCCAGGAGCTTTCCCAACAAACCATGATGGGCGAACAGCAGTGTCTCTTCCTCGGCAGCCCATTCAAGAGCAGACAACAGATGGGGGACAAAGGGCATCTGGGATGTGGGGTCCAGAGCCCGACAGCCAGTGGGCAGTGTCCCTAAATGGTGACCCTGGGAGGTGACCTCACTGGCCCCAACCAGGCCCTCTCACCAATGGCTTCCTTCCTGGTCATGAACCATTTCAATGGGATGTCTCAGATAGCGCGTATCTCTCTCGCTGCCTGTGTAGGAGAAGCCACTTGCTGGTCCCGCTTCCTGGCTGTGAGATTGTGGGCAAACCCTTCAACCTCCCCAAGCTTCACTTATGAGATGAGCTGTGAAGTTCCATGACTTTTCTGTTCTTAACCTCTCTCAGGAATCAATTTGACCCCTTTTTGGGGGCATCCCACCCCCTCTGACGTCTCAGGCCATCTGTACAGGCTGATCAATGACTAACATGTTCACTGTTGACCCATAAATGCCCAGCATTTCAGGGCCCTTCAAATACTGCCGAGACAGGGTTCAGATGGGACAAATGTTATGATAGGTCAGTTATAAAATACTTTTAAAAAAATTTTACTCAACAAAGATCTGGATTTGGGATGTACAGTTATAACACACTTCTAGCCAGAGGTTCACATTAGTGAAAATAAACAAAATGAACCTTAAGAATGAACATAGCTAGGTTTCTATTTCTTTTTTTTTAATTGCATTTTAGGTTTTGGGGTACATGTGAAGAACATACAAGATTGTTGCATAGGTACACACATGGCAGTGTGATTTGCTGACTTCTTCCCCATCACCTATATCTGGCATTTCTCCCCATGCTATCTCTCCCCAACTCTCCAACCCCCGCTGTCCCTCCCCTATTTCCCCCCAACAGACCCAAGTGTGTAGTGCTCCCCTCCCTGTGTCCATGTGTTCTCATTGTTCAACACCCACCTATGAGTGAGAACATGTGGTGTTTGACTTTCTGTTCTTGTGTCAGTTTGCTGAGAATGATGGTTTCCAGGTACATCCATGTCCCTACAAAGGACACGAACTCATCATTTTTTATGGCTGCATAATATACCATGGTGAATATGTGCCACACTTTCCCTGTCCAGTCTATCATCGATGGGCATTTGGGTTGGTTCCAGGTCTTTGCTATTGTAAACAGTGCTGCAATGAACATTCATGTGCATGTGTCCTTATAGTAGAACGATTTGTAATCCTTTGGATATATACTCAGTAATGGGACTGCTGGGTCAAATGGAATTTCTATTTCTAGGTCCTTGAGGAATCACCACACTGTCTTCCACAATGGTTGAACTAATTTACACTCCCACCAACAGTATAAAAGTTTTCCTATTTCTCCACATCCTCTCCAGCATCTGTTGTCTCCAGATTTTTTTAATGATCGCCATTCGAACTGGCGTGAGATGGTATCTCAATGTAGTTTTGATTAGCATTTCTCTAATGACCACTGATGATGAGCATTTTTTTAAATGTTTGTTGGCCTCATGTATGTCTTCTTTTGTGAAGTGTCTGTTCATATCCTTCACCCACTTTTGAATAGGCTTATTTGTTTTTTTCTTGTAAATCTGTTTTAGTTCTTTGTAGATTCTGGATATTGGCCCGCTAGGTTTCTATTTCTTGATCTGGGCAGTAGTTATACAAGTATGTTCAACATATTAAGTCATTAAACCTTAACATTTGGTGACTCATGCCGTAATCACAGCACTTTGGGAGGCCAAGGCGGGCGGAGCACCTGAGGATGGGAGTTCAAGACCAGCCTGACCAACATGGAGAAACCCCGTCTCTACTAAAAATACAAAATTAGCTAGGTGTGGTGGTGCATGCCTGTAATTCCAGCTACTTGGGAGGCTGGGGCAAGAGAATCGCTTGAACCCGGGAGGCGGAGGTTGTGGTGAGCTGAGATTGCACCATTGCACTCCAGCCTGGGCAACAAGAGGAAAACTCCATCTCAAAACAAAACAAAACAAAATCTTAACATTTACAATCTGTATGTCTAATAAACTTTAATTAAAAAAAATTAGTTTTTAAAAAGAATATCATGGGGCAGTTCCAATGAATTTTTAAAGTCAGGTACAATACACATACAGGAAGTACCATCTTTACCTTTTTTTTTTTTTTTTTGAGATGGAGTCTCGCTCTGTAGCCCAGGCTGGAATGCGGTGATGCGATCTCGGCTCACTGCAACCTCCACCTCCTGGGTCCCAGTTCAAGCAATTCTCCTACCTCAGCCTCCCAAGTAGCTGGGATTACAGGCACGAGCCACCATGCCCAGCTAATTTTTGTATTTTTTAGTAGAGACAGGGTTTCTCCATGTTGTCCAGTCTGGTCTTGAACTCCTGACCTCATCATCTGCCCACCTCGGCCTCCCAAAGTGCTGGGATTACAGATGTGAGCCACTGCGCCTGGCCCATCTTTACCATTTTTAAGTGTACAGTGAAGTCTGCCACATTTGTATCATCTGAATCCAGAGGCACAGCTCCGGAGGCTTAGCTGCTTAAAGGCTGATAGATCTCCCTGTTCAAAATTGTTTCAGAACAGAACATAGATATTTCTGGAAAAGGAAGGAGACAAAATTTTGTGGGAAGGAATAGAGAAAGAAAACAATCTGATGAGGAGATAATATTTTAGATAGGTGAGATGGAAATTTCCCCCTAACCCAGTTTGGGGGCCTTGGGTAGGTCACTTTATTTCATACCTCTTTTTTTTTTTTTTTAGACAGTCTTGCACTGTCATCCGGCTGGAGTGCAGTGGCATGATCTTGGCTCACTGCAACCTCCACTTTCCAGGTTCAAGAGATTCTCTTGCCTTGGCCTCCCAAGTAGCTGGGATAACTGCTGTGTACCACCATGCCTGGCTAATTTTTGTATTTTTAGTAGAGATGGGGTTTCACATGTTGGCCAGGCTGGTCTGGAACTCCTGACCTCTCACATCGTCCGCCCACCTTGGCCTCCCAAAGTGCTGGGATTTATAGGTGTGAGCCACCGCACCTGGCCTATTTGTATACCTCTCGAAAGTCAGTTTCCTCACCTGTAAAATGGGCCTAAAAATGCTAGCTGGATGTTCCAAGGATCAAGCATGCATGTCAGGCACCCTGCACATTCAGAATTGCTTAATGTTCACTTCTTCCCTTGGACCCCCCAAGTCTGGATATTTTGAGTTTAGGGATCTCCCCTTATCTCTGGCCCCTCTGACGCATCCAGAGGGGACCTGTAACAAAATGGGTTCCCTTCGGTAACACCCATCATCAGAAGAGATGCACAGTCCCGTTTAATTCCTAAATAATATGCCAAGGCTCCCACAAACTCGAAATAAGCTTTCCAAAAGTCAAAAGCGTAATTGACCAACC